ACTTCAATACACTTCTATTTACATGTAAAGCTAAGGCTCATAACGTTTTCTTGCAGCTAACAAATTTCTTCTAGACGATACATTTTAAACATTCGTGAAACGTTCAATATTTTTATTGTTTAGTAATATTGTAAAAAAAAATGTTAAATCGTCTACCATCTTAGTGAGTTTACACTTGAAGCTAAAATTTAGATTCATACTTTGTTTGTAATGAAAGATTTCCTGTTTATACGGAAAATATACGTTTCGTGTTATTAGACACCTTCATTTATTGGATAATTTGAAATATGTGACTAATTGCTTCGTAATGTACAGTATTATGCTTAATTGTTTAATAACGTACAGTATTATGCTTAATTCTTTAATAACGTACAGTATTATGCTTAATTCTTTAATGATATACAGTATCATGCTTAATTGTTGAATGATATACAGTATTATGCTTAATTGTTTAATAGTGTACAGTATTGTGCTTAATTGTTCAATAATATACAGTATCATACTTAATTGTTTCAATAATATACAGTATCATACTTAATTGTTTAATAATATGCAGTATCATACTTAATTATTTAATAATATACAGTATTGTGCTTAGTTGTTTAATAATATACAGTATCATGCTTAATTGTTTAATGATATACAGTATTATGATTAATTGTTTAATGATATACAGTATTATGCTTAATTATTTAATAGTGTACAGCATTGTGCTTAATTGTTTAATAATATACAGTATCATACTTAATTGTTTAATGATAAACAGTATTATGCTTAATTGTTTAATGATATACAGTATCATGCTTAATTGTGTAACCATGTACAGAACTGTGTTCAGTATTTTCAACGTGTACAGTGTAATGTTTATTTCAACAAATATATATTATGCTTAGTTATTAAATTATATGAGCTATTGTGGTCAGTTACTGAAACATGTAAAATAGTATGCAAAAATACGTTATTACACTCAAATTAGCGTATTTTTTTCTGTCAATAAAGGCCACATGTTTTTCGTTTCACTTCTTCGTTTATCAGAAATATATTTCTTTATGACTTCACTTAATATTATATGTTTTATAAGTATATTGCAGAGTTATCCAAAAACATTGTATCATGTCTGAACATATCTGTATATACTATTTATTTGCGAAAGAAAAAGAAAATAATAAACATGTACGAAGATCTCGTGTATGTTTACAGATGGTAAATATACAAGAGAAAAAGACTTCTCACAATTAACTCTTCAGATATAAATCAATTATATAACAACTAAAGTTTTAACTTAAAACGATATTGTGTCACATTAGCGTAAAGAAAATGCTTAATTTATTTAACAAAAGAAAAAACAAGAATTTGACAGAATTGATATAATCCGTTAATGGAAATAACGTTTCTTTTTTTTGTTGTTGTTTTGTTTTATAAATTGTGCAGAAAACCCTAAAACAATGAGTTTTAAATCCAGTTCACGTTACAGATTTAATTTGCTATCTAAGATGCTCCCCCAGTGGCTGAGCGGTGAGTCCGAAGGCTTAAAATGCTAAAAACCGGGTTTCTATACCTGTAGTGGGCACAACATAGATAGTCCATTATGTAGATTTTGACCTGCTCGACTCGCAATCTGAGGGTCGCGGGTTCGAATCCCCGTCCCATCAATCATGCTCGTTTTTTCAGTCGTGAGGGCGTTATAATGTGACGGTCAATTCCTCTATTTGTTGGTAAAAGAGTAGCCAAGAGTTGGCGGTGGGTGGTGATGACTAGCTGCCTTCTCTCTACTCTTACACTGCTAAATTAGGGACGGCTAGCGCAGATAGCCCTCGTGTAGCTTTGCGCGAAATTCAAAACAAATACACGCTCATAACCTACTGATGACAGGAGTGGAAGCATTATAGTCTAGTAGAAATTGACATAGACCCGAGCATTTTCCATAACAATCACATTTTTGTTCTACGGACTTCTATCTAATGTCAATATTAGGTGAGAAAAATTCACATAAATTCACAGGTGGGGAAATAATATTTTGGGCAAATCAAAGTATATGCATGTGATGTCCTTGAAAACGTCAGTTATATAATTAAGTTTTGGAATATATGGACATGAATTGCCTTTGGAAAAAAAAAGTCCCTCCATGGAGAACAAAACGAGTCAGAAGAAAAAATAATAATTCCAGAATTCAAAAGAAGATAAACTGTCATTGGAAAAACCCTCGCCTTTTTGCCAAAAACGTCATCATTCAATGTAATATGGAAAACTATGGGCATCACAATGCTTTATCAGAAAACAAGAAAGTTCCTCAATGGTGGACAAAAAACGTAAATAAAGTAATAGTTCCAAACAAGATCAAATTCTAGTATTGATATCACCATCTAGTATTGATATCACCAAAAACGTCATCATTCAATGTAATATGGAAAACTATGGGCATCACAATGCTTTATCAGAAAACAAGAAAGTTCCTCAATGGTGGACAAAAAACGTAAATAAAGTAATAGTTCCAAACAAGATCAAATTCCATTTGCAAACATTAACCCTTTGCCGAATGTATGATAAAACATTCAAACTATAATTACAGGTTTTCAGGCTGACAATGTTCTAAAAGCAACAGAATACAACGCTATACAACACACTAAGTTTATTACAGATACTAATAAGTACATCAATAAGCGTTACAAGATTCAGATAATACAAGTGAACATCTTCTATATCAATTAGTCAAGTTCTTCATCATCAATGATGTTAGAAGTGTTTTAGCATCGTGTTTTACACTTGCAATGGATGCTACAAGCGATAACCTTCTTGGAACATTCACATGACACACGTAGTCATTGACTGTTTTTACATGAACATCTAACACCTGTAAAAAGTTCCCTGGATGCTGCAGTTGTGTCGGTGGTTACAGGTAAAACGGAACCATCTTCTACCTTGTACCCATATTCCTACTTATTTAGCACAGTCTTCAAATGGTGCCAAGAATTGACTTGATGATGAACTCGAAGAATGTGGAAGTAGGCTGCCCTGCTTGTTGAAGGCATGTGTTGAATAGGAACAAAATTCGTCGATATCACCATCAAGTATTGATACCACCATCTAGTATTGATATCACCATCAAGTATTAATACCACCATCTAGTATTTACATCACCATCAAGTATTAATATCACCATCTAGTATTGATATCACCATCAAGTATTAATACCACCATCTAGTATTTATATCACCATCAAGTATTAATATCACCATCTAGTATTGATATTACCATCAAGTATTGATATCATCATCTAGTATTGATATCACCAACTAGTATTGATATCACCATCAAGTATTGATATCACCATCAAATATTGATATCACAATCTAGTATTGATATCCCCATCTAGTATTGATATCACCAACTAGTACTGATATTACCATCAAGTATTGATATCACCATCAAGTATTGATATCACCAACTAGTATTGATATCCCCATCTAGCATTGATATCACCATCTAGTATTGATATCACCATCAAGTATTAATATCACCATCTAGTATTGATATCCCCATCAAGTATTGATATCACCATCTAGTATTGATATCACCATTTAGTATTGATATCACCAACTAGTATGGATATTACCATATAGTATTGATATCACCATTTAGTATTGATATCACCATTTAGTATTGATATCACCATTTAGTATTGATATCACCAACTAGTATGGATATTACCATATAGTATTGATATCACCATTTAGTATTGATATCACCAACTAGTATGGATATTACCATATAGTATTGATATCACCATCTAGTATTGATATCACCATCTGGTATTGATATCACCAACTAGTATGGATATTACCATATAATATTGATATCATCATCTAGTATTGATATCACCATCTAGTATTATAGTTCATCTAAATCTTTGGATTTGGCACTGTCCATGTAGAGAACGTGCATAAACTATTAACCGATATCCTGTATAAAGTGGTTTGATGTAGATGTGTCCCTAGAATTGAGTACTTCTAAACGCCAATTTTGTGATGACTGAAGTATTTTGAGATAATTAACTTTACCGATTCTATAGAAAGATAAAGTCGTGTAACATCCAGACATAGTATGAGCAAAAGTTAAGTAAATGCATAACTCTTTCCTGATAACTTCTCTCGTTATCCACATTGAAATGTACTCCTGTTTGTATGTAGAATATATCTGCTGAATGATCTGCGTGCTGCAATAGCAATATTAAAATATCTGTACGGTCAGCTGTGAAAACTACCTGTTCATGGTTTTCTGTGAGTTCAAGTGTCATTCGAAATATCACCACGTCAGCATTTCCTTCCTGGCCTGCATGATCTACGTATATCCCAGCAGAGTAATGAAGATTTGTTATTACAAAATAACAATTTTGTCGATAAAAATGATGCCTTGATTACCATGGGAACTGGGGTGTTGTTATTGGTCACCATGTCAGCACATGATATTTGTTGTAGTCACCGTTTCTTCCGCTTCGGTCCTTTTGTAGTTTCTACTTCGTATCTATCGAAGATCACCCACAGCACTGTTCGCTTGCTTTGTTCGTATTACATTGGATACCAAAGAGTCAAACACCGTGTCCATTGTCCCAGCTTTGGGCCTTTGGAATATGACGAATCAGAACACAGCCGTCAAATACCCTGCCTGACTTGATGGAACAAGATATTTGATTTGTTATATGTGTACTCATTTGAATCAAATGCTTCACTAGTTGTAACTTCTAGGTTTTCATATTACTTCCACCAGTCTTGGAGTTGAGGAAGTATGTTTGTCAAGTGTGTTGAGCTTGTTCTACGTTTCTTGCTCGCATTTAAGCCTTGTAGCACTTCTCATGCACGTGGTATTTTCCAGAGGTGATGGTTACACTTTCAGGTGAAGCTCATCTCCCCACTTCTTTAATGACTTAAGCAGCGCAGATAACCACTTGCAGTCTAATGTTCTACCACAAACCACACCAAGACATGTAATGAAAATAAACAAAATCAAAGCAAGTAACTGACAGCAAAAACACTAATGGTAGATGCAGCAGTAGCAATAGTAATGTTACAAACAGCACCAATAGTAGTAATGTTCCAAACAGCACCAACAGTAGTAGTGTTACAAACAGAACCAATAGTAGTAGTGTTACAAACAGCACCAATAATAGTAATGTTACAAACAGCACCAACAGTAGTAATGTTACAAACAGAACCAATAGTAGTAATGTTACAAACAGCACCAACAGTAGTAATGTTACAAACAGCAGCAGTAGTAGTAATGTTACAAACAACAGCAGCAGTAGTAGTGTTACAAACAGCACCAACAGTAGTAATGTTACAAACAGCACCAACAGTAGTAGTATTACAAACAGCACCAACAGTAGTAGTGTTACAAACAGCACCAATAGTAGTAGTGTTACAAATAGCACCAACAGTAGTAGTGTTACAAATAGCACCAACAGTAGTAGTGTTACAAATAGCACCAACAGTAGCAATGTTACAAACAGCACCGACAGTAGTAGTGTTACAAGCAGCAGTAATAGTGTTACAAATAGCACCAACAGTAGTAGTGTTACAAGCAGCAGCAGTAATGTTACAAATAGCACCAACATTAGTAGTGTTACAAACAGCACCAACAGTAGTAATATTACAAACAGCACCAACAGTAGTAGTGTTACAAGCAGCAGCAGCAGTAATAGTGTTACAAATAGCACCAATAGTAGTAGTGTTACAAGCAGCAGTAATAGTGTTACAAATAGCACCAACGGTAGTAGTGTTACAAACAACAGCTGAACATTAATATTATCATCTGTAGTCGAGACTGTCTTGATGTATTAACCTGAAGTAGTTTTTTCATATATTTATTTGACGTTCGTTGTATTAAGCTCATTAAATATTTATGTATTCATACATGGTTATTGAATTCAAAACATGATATTAAATTACTATAATTATCCTCAACTACAATCACCAGTGCCTGTTTTCGTTTGAGCCTAATTACTATAATTATGCTCAACTACAATCACTAGTGCCAGTTTTCGTTTGAGACTTATTACTATAATTATGCTCAACTACAATCAATAGTGCCTGTTTTCGTTTGATAATTAAAACAGAGCTTTTGTCAATATTAAATATGTCTGTCACATTCACCTTAAAGTTCCCAAGGTCTCTAAACCTTAATGTCCTAGATTATTCAAGTTTTAATTTTCTTACAAAATCATGCAAACAATTACGTTAGATGCCAAAACCTTTGCTTCGTCGATTTAATGTTTACTAGTAGTAAAAACAAAAACAAAAAAAAGCTGCATTGTATAAGCCTAACTATGACCTGCAAAAAATGTATATATATATTGTTACGATAGCGGAAGTCACGTGACGCTAGTAACACGTCATGAGATTCTAGAAGGATCATGTTTGTTCCTGGCAAATCTAGTCTTTTCTACACGCCCTCTATTTTTGTATATATAAGCCCGGCAAATAAAGTGAGCGAGAAGGGACGGCATAGATAAGGGCAAATGGGGAGATATAGAGATATAGCGAGCGGTAGTGACCGTAAGTAAAGTGTGTGAATCGTTGTGAATTATAACGTGTGTTTAAGTTAAAGTGACTGTGGAAATTCTGTGTATTGCAAAGTTGTATTGAGAAAGAATAAACTAGTTTTAGTTAAAGAAAAAAACTTGTATCACTGAAGTTCTTCGAAAAGAATTTTTACGGGAAATTATCAAACGAGCAGATACGTAACAATATACTTCCCCACATAACAGTTTGTGTGAATTTTTCTTGCAGTTTTTAGATACCTATAGGCACGTTTTAAGACCAAAACTTGGTTTAATGGAAAATGTCCGTGTTGGTCATATTTTGTCCATTTCTACTAATACAATTGACAACTTCTACTTAAAGCGACAGAAACTTTGTTATTAGTTAAACTCTCACTATGAACAGACATACAAGTTAAGCAGAGTTAGAGCTTTCAAACGCTTAGGTATAAAGAAACTGTCACTAGGCAGATTTACAACGGGTTCATCTACGCGTGCAAAGTTATACATACTCAATTATCGCCTGGACATTTATGTAGAGTGTAAGCAACAAAATCAATTAGATGTTTTATGAACATATTTTTCAACAGATCTATAGAAATAGAAATGTTAGATCTTGGCAAAACAACAACAACAAAAAATGTAAATATGCCGTCTCTATAAAACTTTTTGAAGCGTGAATCTTAAATAACTCTAAAGAAAACACTAGTCCAACAACATATACATATAATTCGCTTCTTCTAATCAGCATTTTTGGATCGTAAATTATTAATAATTATAAGCAAAACTTTAATTATGGCTATAGAACAAACCGTTTCTCAAGAGCTTGTTTGAAGCATAGATTATAAGTAGTTAAAAACAAATATACAATAAGCCAACTATAAAATAATTATTGTTTCTGAAACAGTACTACACCTACGTCTGGTTTGTAAAAGCACCAATACATATATTTTTTTATTTTTTATAGTAATAGTTATGTTGTTTAGTTTTATAATTTTTGCTGAGATTTATGCTTCAAATAAGTTTTAAATAGCTGATAATAGCAAATAGTTTACACGTTTCATAAAAAAAGATATTTGGTGTGACATTTTTTTTTCATATGTTGAAAAGCGAAAGATTGAAACACACTAGTAACACACTGATATCATAGAATAGTAGTCTATTAACACACTGATCTCATAGAATAGTAATCTATTAACACACTGATCTCATAGAATAGTAATCTATTAACACACTGATCTCATAGAATAGTTGGAGGATGATCATCGTTTAAACGAAATATTTCGTATTATTTTGTGAAAAAGTGTTTGTTTGTTTGTTTTTTGAATTTCGCGCAAAGCTACACGAAGACTATCTGCGCTAGCCGTCCCTAATTTAGCAGTGTAAGACTAGAGAGAAGGCAGCTAGTCATCACCATCCACCGCCAACTCTTGGGCTACTCTTTTACCAACGAATAGAGGGATTGACAGTCACATTATAACGCCCTCACAGCTGAAAAGACGAGCATGTTTGGTGGGACGGGGAATCGAACCCGCAGATTGCGAGTCGAGCTCCCTAACCACCTGGCCATGCCGGGCCGCTAAAAAGTGCAATGTTAGTGTTTTTCTGTTGCTTGTAAAATAATTCCTTCCAGCTCTCAACGTCAATACACGTTTATTGATAAAGATATATATATATAATATATTCATGTTTAGCAGATAATGTTATTTTTGCCAGACTAGCTTACTGCTTTACGTCATAAAATATTTATGAAATAAAAAACAATTTACTTTCAAGAGTTAAAAACTATAAAAAGATGTATGATAATCACGCCTTAGTCCTTCTGTGATTCTCTAGGGAAATATTATGATTTTTTATATTTCTTTAAAAAAAAATATTTATTCGTAGAAACGACATTAGACTGCCGGACATTCAAACATTTAAACAGCAGTAAAAAAAACCACTACAGTAAAAATGAAATGACACATATTAAATTTTAAAATTAAATGTAATTATCAGTTATGAAGAAGAGCCCACCGATAATAAAAGTAATATTTTGATATCATTTTATGTAAGATGACAAGCATAGAAGAAAAAAAAAACAACCGTAATTCCTACACGTGTTGTGGCACCTGTAATTCAACGCTAAACATAAGAAGTCCAACGTTACCGTTGACAGGTAAGAACAGGAAAGATAATGATTAGAGTCTTAACCCATTCATCATCTTTCCATTGATCAGCTAGTGGTCAAATGATGTCACAATAAACTGATGTGATAGTGATATTTCATCTAATTCCAGTAATACTGCTGTGACCTCAATACCTTTAGCATGTGTCATTTTCGTACTTAGATACTCAACCCTTCAATATCATAGACAGGATTGGTTAGAGAAAATTCGTTTTTCAATTAAAGGTTTTATCTCGGGTAAAGTTTTGACACGTTATTAAAGACAGAAGCTGAAAATACTTTTGGAACATCTATCTTAGTGGTCTTGTCTATTTCTACCATAAAAGCACCTGCTTATTAAAGGTTTGTTTGCTCGTAATTAAGCAAAAAACTGCACAATGGGCTATCTGTGCTCTGCCCACCACGGGTATCGAAACCCGGATTCTAGCGTTGTAAGTCCACAGAAATACCGCTGTGCCACTGAGGGGCCTCATTAAAGGTAAAAACATTGGTAATATTTTCTTGTTGAAACGGAGATTCTAAATACTCTCATCTAGATGAGTTATTTTTTTTTATTACAGTAATACAAAGTTTTCCACAAGATCCTGTTTAGTCAGAAACTAATGAGTAAACAATTTATAATGAATATGTTTACATTAATATTCAAACAGAAGATAACCTCAGTGTACAGAGGGAATGCATTCATTGGAAACGATTCTTGTAAAAGTTTTGAATAGAATATGAATCGTTTATGTATGAATAATAGCAATGAAACGGAAACACATAATGCTAAACATCTCTGTTAGCGGTCCCTTTTACTTATGTTTCTCACCTTTATACCTTCAGGAATTATACTGCACGAGCTAGTGAAAGAAAGTTAAATTAACAAGTTTTAATGGTTCTGCCTTTTCAGGAAATGACACGTTAGATTAAGGTATGTTCCTATATAAAGGACAAACAAGTTAATAGGGTTACACAAATGTTGTAATGTTTCTACCTATTTAAATTCAAGAATGAAATATGATTTCGTGTTGTTATCTGAAAATTACATTATAGAATATATTATCAAGGAAAATAAGCGCTTAGTAGTTCGAGTCATTAACGTTTACATTTCTACAAAACTTCGTGTATTAAACATGTGCGCTTTTCTTTAGAAAATGTTCAGAAATATAAAGTTTAATAGTTGTGAGCTTTAAGAGATGAAATCATTTAGTGCTGACAGATACAAATAGTTAATTTTAAGTGTAATGCTGGTGTTTACATTTTCAATCATTTTTCAAAACAAAATGTTATCAATGATAGTAGATTATTAACAACCTGCTATAACTACGGGTGTCTTCTTGTGCTTCACTTTGGTAAAAAGAGCAGATGAAAATATAAAATACGTGTAGATAAAAGTAGCTTACTGGAAATTTAGATTATTGTATGTTGGACTTAATTTAGCCGTCGATTATAATAGAATAAAGCGTCTTATAATATATATTAAAACTCAAAACCTAATTGTATATAAATTTCATTACCTCATGATTCATCCAAATACAAGCCCAAAAGTCTTTATTGCGAAATATCTTCGCTTCTACCGAAAATACATAATAAAATATTATTAAACCACTAACTTTTATTTGAAGTTAATACTATGTTCTTTATATTTATTTAAATGTGTTCATTGTTTATAGTTAAACCATTAACTTCTATTTGAAGTTAATACTATGTTCTTTATATTTATCTAAATGTGTTCGTTGTTTATAATTAAACCATTAACTTATATTTGAAGTTAATATTATGTTCTTTATATTTATCTAAATGTGTTCGTTGTTTATAATTAAACCATTAACTTATATTTGAAGTTAATACTATGTTCTTTATATTTATCTAAATGTGTTCGTTGTTTATAATTAAACCATTAACTTATATTTGAAGTTAATACTATGTTCTTTATATTTATCTAAATGTGTTCGTTGTTTATAATTAAACCATTAACTTATATTTATTTACATGTGTTCATTTTTATATCGACTAAAAGAAAACTTACAATGATAGAAACGCATTCATATCTACAGTAAGAAGTGTGAACAGCGAACTTCTTAGATGGATTAGAAATAACATATAATCTAAGTTAAGATTAATGTAATTTTGTTTCATTTGCTTCTTGAAAACACAAAAGGAGATGACACAGAACTATACTCCTGATTGAGCATATTTATAGATTAAAAAAACCCGGGACTTACTTTCAGCAAGTCATGTTCGCAGTTTAATTGCCTAATCCATCGTAAGATAGCGTGAGCATTATTTGATGTGTTCATTATTATATATTTTTTATGTTAAGTTCATCGGGTAAATATTGAGCCTGAAATTAAAAAAAAAACGCATACTTTTCTTTCTTTCAAACATAAGATAAGAAGAAACACTGCAAGAGGACCAAATATGTAATTTAAGTACCCAGGAAAACTAAGACGTTTTCCAAGTGTACAGTTTAGAAAGACTGTGCGTGTGTGTCTGTTGAGCTAAATGACAATCGATGTGAGACCATTTCCGAGAATACAAACAAAATAATCCATTGATGTCAAATCTCTGGTACAGCGAAGTGCATTAGCAGAAAGCCAATTATAAAGTGTTTAGAATGGTGATCTGTAGAACTGAGTCTCCTTGGTTCGTGTCCCGTTACCGCCCCAAAAATCGCGACCAGCAATTTAGGCTGGAGATCAGAGGGTACCGGTCAAAGGAGAGAGGTTATCCTCTGATATCGAGAGGTCATTTGGCATCATAGTCCTACATATTAACGCAAAAAAAAACAACAGATATTTCTAAAACGTTCCAGTATGGTTTGCGATTTCCAAAATCAGTCACTAGGGGTTGGCGACGAGCCAGCCCTCTTATGTTGCCTGGGTAGAAGTTTATTATGTGATTCGCGAGCGAACCACCAGAGGACGCTGTTGACCATGAATGCCACGCTTATCATGTTATATAAATATACTACTATTTCATTCTTGTTAGTTGTCGAAACGATATTAGTTTCTACATTATCATTAGTGCCAACTTTATATTTTCACTTCAATCACAAAAAGTTTGAATTCTTAAAATTAATATTTTATGTTTTAGAACTTGAATAATTGTATAGCGAAGTTTGTAAACATTGATAAAAATAGCTTAACTTACAATCTACATCTAGGCCTATTTTTATATTAATATACAACAGTAAATTACAGACATATATATCGTATGCATAACATTATGAAAATAACTACAGTTTAATTTTCTACGATTCCTAACACGATATTAGTTTCAACACTATCGTTAGGATGAGTTCTGTAGTTTCACTTCAATGTGAATAATAAACAAAACTATTGTGAATACGTAAAATTAATATTTTGTGTTTGAAGTTTGAATATTTGTGTGCCATATTTCATAAATATTCATATCATAGTTTAACAAACAATATACGTAAAAGACTCTGTTTTCCCAATGTTAACTCAAAACACTAATATAAATTCTATTCTACGTAGACCTGAAACGGACCACATAGTATCGATTTATATGTAAAATATGAAAACTATTTTCTCCTAATCGTATAAACTAAAAATTATGTCCAAACGTAAAATAAATGGTACGAGCGTATTAGATTTATCAAGCACTATATAGCCCTGTTTTCATTCTGAATACGTAAAATTAATACTTCATGTATTACAGTTTGACTATTTGGATAGTGTATGTCATGACATACTTCATGTGTTACAGTTTGACTATTTGTATAGTGTATGTCATGACTTACTTCATGTATTACAGTTTGACTATTTGTATAGTGTGTATGTCATGACATACTTCATATATTACAGTTTGACTATTTGTATAGTGTATGTCATGACTTACTTCATGTATTACAGTTTGACTAGTTGTATAGTGTATGTCATGACATACTTCATGTATTACAGTTTGACTATTTGTAATAGTGTGTATGTCATGACATATTTCATGAATTACAGTTTGACTATTTGTATAGTGTATTTCATGACTTACTTCATGTATTACAGTTTGACTATTTGTATAGTGTATGTCATGACATACTTCATGTATTACAGTTTGACTATTTGTATAGTGTATGTCATGACTTACTTCATGTATTACAGTTTGACAATTTGTATAGTGTATGTCATGACATACTTCATGTATTACAGTTTGACTATTTATATAGTGTATGTCATGACATACTTCATGTATTACAGTTTCACTATTTATATAGTGTATGTCATGACATACTTCATGTATTACAGTTTGACAATTTGTATAGTGTTTGTCATGACATACTTCATGTATTACAGTTTGACTATTTATATAGTGTATGTCATGACATACTTCATGTATTACAGTTTGACTATTTGTATAGTGTATGTCATGACTTACTTCATGTATTACAGTTTGACAATTTGTATAGTGTGTCATGACATACTTCATGTATTACAGTTTGACAATTTGTATAGTGTATGTCATGACATACTTCATGTATTACAGTTTGACTATTTATATAGTGTATGTCATGACATACTTCATGTATTACAGTTTGACTATTTGAATAGTGTATATCATGACATACTTCATGTATTACAGTTTCACTATTTGTATAGTGTATGTCATGACATACTTCATGTATTACAGTTTGACTATTTATATAGTGTATGTCATGACATACTTCATGTATTACAGTTTCACTATTTGTATAGTGTATGTCATGACTTACTTCATGTATTACAGTTTGACTATTTGTATAGTGTATGTCATGACATACTTCATGTATTACAGTTTGACTATTTATATAGTGTATGTCATGACATACTTCATGTATTACAGTTTCACTATTTGTATAGTGTATGTCATGACATACTTCATGTATTACAATTTGACTATTTGTATAGTGTATGTCATGACTTACTCATATTATCATAAATAGTTTAGTTTAACTTGCAATCTACGTAGTCTTGAAAAGGACTGTTTGTCGTGTTAACCTAAAGCTTTCAAACTCTATTATCATATTCATATCTACTTTAACTTATAGCTCATATTTATATCTATACACTACTTTAACTTATAGCTCATATTTATATATATAAACTACATTAACTTATAGACCATATTTATAGCTATAAACTACTTTAACTTATAGCTATTAAACTCTCTAAA